CGATGATTGGGTCTACGTGCCTTATAACTGCCGCTTGTCCTGTTTCTGCCACTACCTCTGACGATGGACTCCTGTACGAGTCTGAAAGCTCAGGATAATAAACGAATTGTTCCGGTGCTCGACTCTTCTTCTTCTTCAAACAGGTAATACAGCGTGCGCGTGAATTTAAAATCATAATTTAAACGCAATCACACCTACTGAAATCGATCCAGTAGGCACCATTGTGGAGTCTGTGTGCACAGCTGCCAACTATCATCTTACCGCGTTTGCCATCAAACCCGTCCTCAGTCGATAAACACGTTGATTCGCAATTTAAGAATCGTCTGTAATCATACTGACAAGTGACTGGAAGACCTTCATGTAGTATTGAATGGCTCTAATGCGAGGTATGGCTGAAAGTCGATAGATCCGTGCCTTTTTATTGGAATCAATGACTGTCATATGGTTCTTTTCACATTCGTCAAAGGTCTGCTCTAATGAGTTGATTATGACTTTTGAGTAGTCGTCTATTCGCCATTCCATTACTCATTCCGACTGCTGTAAAACTATCTTCTGAATATGTCTGTAAATGGCGCAATGTATTCTTATCGTGGTGAATTATATAATCAAATTACAAATAATATACTGGACAAAATGCGCCCACATTCATACCGAATCCGAAGTCAGCATCATTAAATACAGGGATTCCGACTGGCAAAACTTAAAACTGCAAATGTGTCACAAATATCAGAGGGCACTAATTCCACACTTCATTTTTGTTGGAATCAATAAAACAACTTCAAAATTATATTTCGTCTATTAAGAAAAGTCTTTCGTACAGACGAAAAATGATATCATACTCAAGTGAACGATACTCTGGTGGGCGTTCTCTATAGCCATTGTTAGCCGAACAGGTAGTCGAGGGGTGCAAACGAAACCAACTCCTTTCTAACCTCCCCCGGCCAGGAGATATGCATGGATGGACGCGGCTCAACACAGACATTCAACTTCGTCATAACCATTCCTAACCAGACATCGTCAACTGGAAATTGTAGAGTGAAGTACATGGCCAGGGCGATTTCCTTAAGAATGTCGGCGCCGATCACAAGGAAGGCACCGGAGGCGTAAGGCGCGAAGTAGGGCCAGGGCATTTGGCGTTTAGAGAGGATCCATTTTTCAAAACCTGGCGACACGAGAGGACGATATACTGGACTCCACATCTGCAGCATGCCCCATGTCACTCGTCGAATTTGCGTGTCCGAGAGTGCCATCAGTTCAGTCTTCAAAATGGTTGCATTGAAGGCATAGTCATCGTCCAGGAGAATGAAGACAGGAGGTCGTTGTTGGGAGGCGAAATGTGGACTACAGAAACGAGAGGCCCATTGAAAGCTGTGGAATAACTTGAGACTGAGGTTATAGTAGGTGTCCTCGTAGTCACCCAGCAGGAGGTCACCGTTGAGTCGGGCTTCTTCTGCCAGTTTTCTGAGGACTGTCGGACCATCATACCGCATCTTTTCCAGCGACTCACCCGCCTGGCCCGGAAGTGAGATGTTCAAACCGTCACGCTGGAAGTACCGACCCCCGCTGCTTCGGGGTAGTCCTACGGAGAAGACCATGGCCATGCGGAAGGCATGTTCACGCTTGACTTCTTTGGCATAGGTTCTCCGAATGCGATCACGAACTGCAAAGTTGTAGACGGCTGACTTAACCACTACGATAGCATCCAGAACTTCTTTGACTGCTTTTCCTGGCACGCAGACAGTCCAGCTGATGTTGAAGAATCTGATCGTCTGATTAAATATGGGAGCCTATAAAAGGGAGAGAAGGCGACTCAGCCAGAAGAGACGCAGTACACTGTGGAAAGTGAGCTAAAAAGAACAGTCGTATAAGTAGTTCGTCACTGACAACGTTAGATGGAGTGGATTTGTCGAACTGTCTACTGTAAGAAGACTTTGCTCTTTAGAAGCCTTACCAGCAGTTGGGACTGGAAGCACAAAAAGTACGCAAACAGAGCACCAAGTTAGTATTTCCAAAATGCATGAAAAAAACGGAGCGATATCTCTTTCAACCTCGAAAGCAGTATTTTATCGGCATAAATGTCTACACATAACTATTTATCCAGACATAATTGCTAACTAATCGCCTGATGTACGCTAAGCAGTTATGACTTCCAAAAAAGCAAAAAGTGACAAGCTGCCAATCCATCAGGTATTTTCCTGCCTACACTTGACTGTGTTGCGCAGAGGGATGACAAACCTATCTTCGATAGCATTGATAACGGGAATGAGACATTATGCGCAACTTCTCCAGTAACTACAATATGATGGCTTTAAGCCTTGCATATCTCGCCCGTCTGTCCACGATACCCGTGTAATTTTAGCCGGTTTATTATAGTACGCAATCTCTACGGGCTCTCCGACGGTTCTACAGGATACTAAATGCACTTACTTTCAGAGCACCAAACGCCAAATGAAACCGTTCCTTCAAGTCTAAAAATAGAGCACGGAGTCGGACGTATGACCGGATCGACACTAGTGTCGACGATTCAAGAAGCAAATTCCTACTTCTTACTTAGGCCCTTTGGTAGGTGAATAATATGCCTGCCCGATTATGTACATGCATGTTGTCCTGAATATACTTCATGGTCACTGGTAGTCAGATTCAACTAAGACAATATACTGCATTCAAAATAGTGCAGGTTAAATGCTTCATTCGATGGATACCGCGGAAGCAGATGATGTATCCTTTGTGATTTTCACACCTACTTCTGGTATGGAACCGCAGCTCGTTATATTTGTCACCACTTGTTTCATATCCAGCGCCTGTGGGTACAGCATGAAAACGGAACTAGGAATTGGGAGTCTCCAGTTATCATCCTCGATCTCGGCCATCTCCGCAAACGTATAGTTCTGCTGGCGTGAAGGACGCATTAGGATGTGTTGACTACGGATGCGCCGGTCGGCACTTCTGCCGATGCCGCGGCCACCGTTCGCAACATGCGCCACGAATGACAACTCAAACCTGCTTGTCTTAGGCGAGTAATCAAGGTATTGCCAGTCGGACTTGCAGTCGCTTGCTTTTCTGCCTGAATGGATCTCCCAATGGATGGCGATCCACCATCCTGCAATATAGAGACAGTTGAGGAGACCAACTGTCAAAAGGAAATAAACCAGACGTCTGTTCCGGTACGGAGCGTATTGGAGCATCGTAGTTGAGGCTCGACGTACTCATAATCTTTCATAGAATTCGTTGTGCTTTTTATCGCCCGCTATCCAGTTTCGTTATTCGCCAAGTCAAGTACAGGCATTCGCTGCGCCAATGGAAGTTGCCAATCAGAAAATATGTATTAATCAATAACGTCACGGCTTTTGCTGAAAACGTCAGTCGTGATGTGTAAGTTTAAACGTCGGTGCCAGAGTAGGTTAACTTAATTTCAAAGAAAATGCCCTGGGAACAAGTTAAATTAAGATAGGCATTTAGGCATCACGTTCACATTAAAAAGTTTATTGTCTCAACGTTTCTTTATATGAACGGAAGTGGATATTCACATGGGTTTCCTGCAAACATCTACGCTAACTTATTACCAACTCGGTGGGCAATGTGCGAACGCAGACGTGAACAAATGAGTCAAGGTTTATTTGTAGAAAATACCAATGCAACTCACCAAGTATTCGTAAGGTCGGGGATGATACCCATGTAGACATTTAGAAAGCCAATTTCGGCAAACATATGCCTTTCATTATTATACACCAGGCCTGTGGATCATCAGTATGTAGTTGACACTCTCTTCCGTTACTATACAGGTCCGACGATAAATAGACAGTTGCAATCGCACACAATTATAGCGGCTACGCTGTGGATGGGTCCTAAATTCTTGTCAATAGCAGTTGTCCCGAGAGCCTTGACGGAAAAGGGACAACTCTGTTTGAATGCCTCTCGAATGACCCGCTCACGCGCAAAAGCGCCTGCGCGAGAGAGCGACGTCTGATCATGGATGTAATTGGAAGGGGTTGACGGCAGCTTGAATTCAGACGGACCAGCTTTTTGGAAGATATCCTGTCTAGAAGTCCTCATGTCTTACAACGGGCGGGATCGGATGATACAGGCATGCGGGTCATCATGCGAGGCGGGGCAAATAATCATTAAATGTAAATTTATCTACCATAAAATGTGACTAACTACTACAAGGGAGTCGGGGTAAAACGAAAAGAACGCCAAAAAATACTTGTTGAGGACAGGTTGAGGATTACTCGTCCATACGTGACCTCGGAGGTAATGTCGCTGCAGGGAAAAACGAACATGATAATCGATTAAAAAGCCAAGGTCGAGCCTCTGTTCACATCCCCGGCTGTTACGACGCCGCACACGTGCTGTGTGACGCCAGTATTCCAAAATGATTGGAGGCCTACCCTGCCAGTTGGATGAATCAGAAGTCTAGTCGGCATACAAGCTACTCCAGGTCACTATCTGATTGGCCGAATTTCAGCCCCATGCTGGTAAGTTACTTTCGTAATAGGATTCGGCGTCTCTCTCGAAGGGGCTCAAATGCGGAGCAACCCCCGTACACCATTTGATGTAGTTTGCCAGACGCCATCTCTGTGAGGACAACGGAATGTTGATCGCGAAACTTTCCGCCGGACATCGATGGAAAGGCAATCTAAATGTCGACATGAAAAAAACTACCTTTGTTTCGCCCAGTTAAACAGCTGCTGACAAAAAAACTGCTGGAGGAGTCAGGAAAAGTGGACGCTATGTTGTGTACGCTAGATGTGTGGTGGCGTCTACGAGCTTCTAGTTCGATTGGCCATTAGAGCGTCACTAGCCAATCGTTTAAGATCCAAATAATGCACTGGCGTTCCAAATTCAGGCTTAAATCCGAATTTGGAACTAGCGGCATATTAAGTAGTCCAAATCGCAACAGGAATACTGTTCCGGAGTTAAGATGAACTCTTCAGTCACTTAGACGATGGGCTTTAGGCGGTGTCTGACACCCACTCCTCAAATAGTTCCCACCTCGTCCTGTTTACCGACCCACGTGCTGACGATGTCGAACTCATGGCGTTCTTCCAGCTGGTGCACGGCGACATGAGGCAGTGGGTTGCCAATAGAAGCGAAAAGACAAGTCGCAGGCAGTAGTCTTGAAGAATGGGGACACAATCGCTGGGAGAACAGCTTTATTAGCCTACCCGAACGACCCGTTTGTGATCAACTATTTGCGACTTGAGACATCGTCCTATTTGGCCTTCACCATGTCAAGGGAAGTTATGGTAAAGGATTTGATAAACTACATCCGATTGTTCGCCTGTGTCCAGACATTTCTTCATCTTGTTGGTTCTGACATGCATGGTATCCTTCGATGTTGTATCAGTATTCGCGTCGACTCCGTCAGAATTGGCGCACGACGTGCTACAGAAACGACCAGAAGAGAAATACGAGGAAATGTCGAGGCCCATGAAAAGCCAAGCAACTAATGACATTCTTTGCATTTTGCCTGCGAAGCCTTAGCATCTTCAGTAGTATCATATGCAAACAAATCAAAGGAACGGTAAGGATAAGGTATATGACCGGAGAAGGCTACTATCGACTACTGCCTACCATATTTATCTACGTCAGCATTGTTAGGTAGGGTTTTTGGTAGACATCCAGTCACGGTCTTCGGTAGCCATGGCAAGAGGACATTTTCTGAGCCAAACCGTCCGAAGGATGCGGTGCAGCAAAAATGTCTATAAAGACTCAGTAGTCCGCACCCCTACATGTAATTCTTTAATAAAAAGCAACAGATTTGTCCGCAATAGAGAGACAGCAAGAGGCGCCCTCCTATGCCTACTCCCACCGCCCACATCCTCGTCAAGCTCAAGTTGTCTCCAATCGGTGTGCGTGCATTTGCCGAGGGTTGGTGTCCCAGTGAATTGCTTTGCTGGTTGCAGCGCGTGGCGCGTTCAAGTGGCGCATGGACAGCTGCGGCTGTGCGGACGCAGGTATGTCCAAGCTGTCGATCGTGTGACTTCAAGTCAGCGAATATAGAACGGCTAAATACAAAGGGGCGAATGACCTTAAGGCAACGACGTCTTGAACCATGACACCAGAACGGCCATGAAGGCTGCCTGCTACAGGCGAACATTTCGTCTGCAATATGGGATAGAAAGGTCGCCCACGTCTCATTTAGGCCCGCGTTGTTCAGCCCAAATCAAAGACGGCACTGCACTTTTTTCACATTGGCCCAAACTGCTCCGCCATACAAGAGGCTTCCTCTGAGTAGTTTTCATTGAAGGCGGCTCCAGTAGGCTTCTATGAGGTCCAACCCATATAACCCCCCTTTTCTGGCATTCCCGTTAGAAAGGTTCGACCGGTTACCTTTACCTGACACTGGACATATACTTTATCCTTTCCAAAGGAACACCCACTGGCTTCCCAATATTCAGCTAAGATGCGGAATTGATCCCCTACGAGCTGGCAAATCTCACTTCAACCACTGCCAACATGGGATTTGGCGGCGATATGCTGAATAAAAGGTTCTCGGGTTATCCAAACCTGCTTAACGGCATCTTCGCCGACATTCTTTTTACACGAGAAGAGCAAAAGGCCGAGGAATTAGCCTCAATTGGTGTGCACGGCACACGTAAATCTGATTATAGTCTCAATACCACAATGGGCAGAAATGAGAATAACACAGCTCAGGTTCGCAGCCATCATAGCAACCACCTGGTGATGCCCAGACGGGACTCCATTAAGGTAAAAACGCACTGCAGCGGCCCTGGCGGAAGAATACATGAACTAAGGCATCTCAGATACCAGTTGGTAGGGAAAAAACTATCCAAAGAATTTCATCAATTGCTGCATACGAAGTATCCACGACGGACGGCCCATTGGGTCAAATGCATTTCCATTAAGACTTGTGATCACACTCCTCCAAATATAGCAGTCAGCAATTTTTACCTAACAGAGGATGTGCATAAGGCATCGCACATGCTGAGGCTGTCGGTGGTCACGTTCAGAAGGGGCCAGTGTAATCTGGCTCTCTGTCCACCAGGAAAACCTTCCAACACACACACACACACACACAAACACACACGGCAGTTCGACCCTCGATTTCGACGATGTCCACCGTGTGCCCCACAGCTGCAGCAGCGGTGGGAGCAGGGACGGTGACTTGCGCAGGGGTTTATAGTGCGGGTAGACTTGCGCTGCATCTACCTACACTCTCTCCTCCTCCCCCGCCTGGGCCCGGTGTCAAGACAGAGTCAAGAAGACCGGAGACGAGGGAGGCCGCAAGTGGATGGCTCGGACGGATCCTCACCTTGGCGTTCGACCACACCCCCTGGCCCACACAACAATGACCAGGATTTCAACTAACACAGCAGAGATTTGGAGGCTGGCACGGCCGAAGCCGCACCTGGGCGTGCCGCCAACGCCTGGCTAGGATCCCAAACTGTGCCGTAAATAAACATGGTGGACATTGTTTGTCACGACGTTAAAACTGTCAGATGTGTCGGCACGCATTAAATTTCGCAGTCGTCGATTCGCATGTGACCGAATAGGCGCATGCGGTTACTGGATGTGGGTGGTCAGTGGGGGCAGTGAAAGCGGATGTGGCGAGTTCGAGTGCCGCAGGCACTGGTTCGCTAGTCTATGTGTGATTGATTCGTAAGTGACCTACCTGGCCGATGTGTGGGGCGAATGTTTGACCGCAAATGTATCCCGATAGTCACCTAGAGACAGAGATTTTGTATGGGCTCCAGTTTTCCTGCTAATCGCTATCGCATGATACGGAGATTTTTGCATGTCGAAAATCGCCTCATCCGCCTTCACTGTCCGCACGGTCAACGCACATTCATACATCAGCTTAGCTTATTCTGTCATATGCCTGTCTACAGTATCGAAATTCGCAGTAGAGTCGGCACTCCTAGTACATCATACACCCCCACAAACCATCTCATTACACACCCAATCAACGATCCATCATTCAGCGCGCCCAGCGCTATCATCCTCATTAACACCACCACCACCACCACCACCACCACCACCACCACCACCACCACCACCACCACCACCACCACCACCACCAACTGACAGTTCGACCATCGTTTTCGATGCAATGGGAGCAGGGCCGGTGACTTACGCAGGGGTTTATAGTGCCGGTAGACTTGCGTAGCCTTTACCTACACTTTCTCCTCCTCCCTCGCCCGAGCCCGGTGTCAAGACAGAGTCTAGAAGACCGGAGACGAGAGAGGCCGCAGGTGGATGGCTCGGACGGATCCTCACCTTGGCGTTCCACCACAACCCCTGGTCCACACAACAAATAACCAGGATTTCAACCAACACAAGAGAGATTTGGAGGCTGGCACGGCCGAAGCCGCACCTGGGCGTGCCGCCAACGCCTGGCTCGGATCCCAAACTGTGGTGAGAGTGCCATAAAGGCCACATTAAAAAGGAGCCATTGCAGCCTGACTCTCAGACCGAAACGGACTTTAAATCTGCCGAGCTATCCTCCCTATATGGAAACCGCACATTCACCCCACTTATCGGCCTGACGGTTCACTTGTGAATGTATCACACAGAGCCTGGCAAGCCGGTGTCTGAAGCACAAGCATATATTAAACGTCATCTTTTCATCTGCCCTCAATACGCGCACACATTTGCTTACCGAGTGGACATATAAGGCAACATGCGTCACTATGAAACACGCGGTGGAACACCGCGGGATACACTATGTCATTACAACTGTCTTCACCAGGACCTGGCGATTTTACTGTGCCCACGGAACACACCGTGTGGTCCACAGAGGGGCGAGACCAGAAACCAGGCTTTAATTTGTTTTTGTGATATCACACTTGCGAAGCATCAATCGCACGCACTTCTCCCCCGCGCCGGGGCTTGGTTTATGATTAACTCAAAAAGGGAGGAGAATAAACAGACCGCAGTTGGCCAGCACCTATATCCCACATGAGCACACCCAGACACTGTCACTCACCTAAGGTCCGTGGTGTCACTCATGTGAGGTTCTGGTACACTTTTGTGATGATCAGTGGATGCTTGGCACTCGTAGACAGGCGGGCTCGAGCCCGCCGTCAGTCGTTTGGGCTCCGTCTTGTCACCGAGCATACTTGGCATGGCCATCACTTCCCAGGGCGTTCCTTACATCACTAATTATACAAAGGTTAAGTAGAATTGACGAATTTTTTTGGTTCCCTTTTCAGTGACCAAAAGGCTTGTGCGTTCGCCTAGCGTTCTCCTTTTTAACAAGCGGTAGCTATAACGTGGTTTTGGATAAATGCCCCTGTAACGATCGGGTGAAGGCCCCCATGCATCTGCGGCATACAAAGAAAACCCACCATGCTTATTTAAGTGGGTTTTAGTCCGACATCACTAACTAAGCCACTCGGTGGATTAGGAAGGGAAAGAGAGTGCAAGCAGAGCTCGAAACACGCGCAGGCAAACGGGTGTGAACAGAAAGTAGCGTGCACGCATTCCGCGCGACACAGCCACCCGCTGGATTAAGAGTATACGGCGGGGGAGCAATCACAACTGGAAGGCCACAGGGGAACCGCGTGTTAATTCACAGGGCATGGCTACCATAGTGGACCCGACGGTGATCCACGCCACTCAAACTACAGCATTAGAAAGATTTCTTAACCATTCGCTGGGTTGAGATAGTAAAGATGGCGTAAACAGGGCTCGAAGAACGCTCAGGGAAGCTCTTGTTAACTGATGCCTGAAGGAATGCACAACGTCACTCAGTATGATAATATCGACTAAGAAGACACACGAAACGCCAGCCGCAGCAGCAGCAGCAGCAGCAGCAGCAGAAGGAGAAGAAGAAGAAGAAGAGACCATTTAGAGGACTCGTTTTTGAATAAAAAGGTAGATCACAGTTGGCAGCCAGGCCCCCTATTACAGGTGGCTGGGGGTTTGTTTACTGTGGCATTTTGTGGGGCTACATAATCACAATTGATCAAACAACTAAGCATTTGTATGGCAGCCAGTCAACTGTCGGGTAATCTTTGTAGTAATGATCAAGGGGAGTGATGGACTCATGGCTATGAACGATCAGGTAGGGGTCAACATCCGTTCTTCACACCAAGTAAAATCGAAAGCGATAAAGGCTAGTCAGGTTTCTTATTTAAAATATATAGTTGCCGAGTAAATGTGTTCTACATATTCCCAACTCGTTGTGCTTCCATTGCACTTATCTGCTACCGTCCTGATGGTAGACTGGACTGAGAACCCGAAATGCCAGACGACCGCATCTATTTATTTCATTCGAAGCATTAAGTCAATTGCCCAAGGCCGCCGGCTCCGGCGTTCTTAAAGGCGACTTAAGAACGTGGAAGCTGTCCTTGTAGACTGGCGAGTATGAATCCGCCTCGAATGTTACGGTAGGCTCTGAATCTGTAACTAGCATTTACATGAGCAAATATCAAGTTCTAAAGGGTCAGATGCCGAAATCACGCCGCACATTTGCTTTACAATCCTACCGATTTTAGCGGGTACTTCAAATGTGTGGAAATCAGCGACGTGGCTCTGGTGCTTCACATACGTTACCGTCAATGTTCTTAAAAGTCTCGCATATGGTTGTCCGACACCTGAGTACACCGCATGTGCACGACTCAAAGATGACCTGCCGTAAACACCGCCCAAACGATTTTAATGTGTTTTCAGTATCGACTGCCTGGTATGGACATATAGATGCGGATCACTCTTTTCTCATATAAATATTAGTTGTTCAGATTGTAATTCTGAAGGACGCAGTCTTGTTTGCGACTGGCTGTGATTCCCGGTGATATTTGTGAGGGATTTTTCTTGTAATAGTCCACAGTGTCCTACATGCCAATGACCAATTCGAAGGTTGCGTCTGCCGGAATCCCGGCGCACGTCTGGAGCACAAAGCGTACCGTGCTCTGAAAGGTAAGCGGTTGCTTTAAGAATTTGGGACGACGTGTGCAACTCACAATGGAGGAAATAAAACTGACCAGGAAAGTTTGCATGGGCACAGAAACGTATAACCCAAAGCGACCTCCAATTGTGTTGTTGATAAAAACCCCAACGGGGACCGCCAACCAAAAACTTGCCTCTGCACAGACGATCCTGAATACATTTAGCCTGATATTAAGAGTCCACAATGAGGATGCCTATTACAAAAATAAAATCGGTGGGCACTTGAAAACGTCATTCACATAACTGTTCGACATTTAACCTTGCAAGCTTAAGCTCGCAGAAGCCACGTCGCGTCTTCTTGGTTTATACTGTACTCGGCCAGGTCTGTCAGTAATTTGCAAAGTCATATCGTTTGTTTATTGGTGCTTTTGTTGGACTACATAATCATATCTGACCCATTGGGTTTCCGTCTTGCGTCTGAGGCTAGGAGTAGGGTACCTGCTAGTTGTGTCCGATGTTCGGGTTTGGGTTATGCGCTTTGGGCTTAGATTTTCGAATTACGGTTTGAATTTACGACTGGCTTTTAATATTACGGTTAAGTTTTATAATAAGGTCTATGTCTAAGTGTTACGGTTACGTTTACGATTTCGGTAAGAGTTAGGGTTAAGGTTGCCGTTAAGGTAAACGGTTAACGTTTAAGGTTAAGGTTAGGGTTAAGTTCAAGGTTAGGATTAGGGTTTAGGTCGCCGTACGCTTCCCCAGTCCGGGGGATCTAGCCGGAATAAAGATGTGCTTTAAAGCAAAGCAGGAAAAGTGGCAGAACAATAAACAATACGGGGGAATACAGGCGTCCATGAATCGGTGGATTAAGGGATGGGGTGTGTGTAATAGGAACATTAAGGGCGAATGAAATAAAGTTAATTATGTGTAGGCGGCAAATTGTGTACTTAAGAGCAAGAAGCCATAATATAATTCCTTAAACTTTTGGGTGTTGATGCGATAGCGATAAGTGTATGACGCAGTCAAAGGTCGAACAATGCAACGGCTCGCACATGCAATTAACAGAGTAATTTTTTAGACATTTGCGTCATTCTCGCTCGGAGCAAAGAGTACCTTTAAGTGGGGCCCAGAGGATAGGAATTCGCCTTAAAACAGATGAATTTGCGCCATATGGTAGGGCACTTGAGGTTAAGGATAGCGTTAAGTCTAGAGTTGAGGCTTGGGTTAAAGTTAGTGTCAGGGCTAAAGTTAGGTCACGGAATTGGACACCCTTCCTGGAATTTAGAGCAAAACTCCCTGTTCTAAGGAGGGGTTCCTATTGTTTACCCAATATCCTTTTCTGTCCGTGCAAAGGAGGGTTTGATGACCACCTCTGCGCTATAGCGTTTTGGATCATGTTACGGAGGTTCGTATTCTTATAATCCCAAAAAAGATAAATATTGTGATAAAATAATGTTTATGATGATAACAAATGGTCGAATCAACTGTACAAAAACATAAAAATTATAATGGAGAAGGACGTAAGGCGTGTAAAAAGAATAATGAAACTAAAATGCGATATATTTTGTATTTTCTACTACGACAGTAGTTTTTTAATTCAGTAGTCAAAGGCAAAATCAGTCTCACAGTTCCTAATGAATCAGTATCAGACGAAAGCGACTGGCTTGACCCAGAAATGTGCAGTAGCCACATTACTGAGTGAACATGTGGTGAACATTTTCAAGACCGAAGGTGGATGCGCAGAGAGACAGCTGCGTAGGAACCCAGAGACCATCGTGGCATGACAGCGACAGTGTGCTTGAAAAAAGGCCTTCACAGCTTCCATATAGTAAGCGCATTAAAAGTTAGGAAGTTCGCCTTCTTCGAGAAAGTTTTTCAATTTATTTGTTGCCATTGCTGGTGCGAGTTCGCGCCAGGCTGTAGAGGAAGCGCTAAGAAAAAAAAGGAGGCTAGAATGGAGGCAGGAATGATGCATCAGATGGCCGCCCTCAGGCGGAGAGCACGACGAGGACGCAACGAGAACGAGTTGGAGCTGATTCAAAGTCTGCCTGAAGGACACTTGATCGACGACGTGAAGTCGCAGTTAATGTACAGGTAAAGCCCCATCACCCCCCAGATATGCATTATCTGTTTCGCGCGGAAAGAAACGCCAGGAGACACTGGTCGTCGCAAACGACGTCGACTGCTGTGTACCACACGGGGCGGGCACTGCACCGGTTCCCTGCGCTGGAGGAACTTTATAGCGAGGCAGACTTGTGCGACATCCATCGTCCTCTCTCTCTCTCTCTTACTTTTCCCCTGTAGGATTTGCTGTCAATGCGAGAAAGTGCCAAGACGATCAGAAATGGACTCGTGCCAGTGGCTTGCGACACTAAAATGCCTGTCTATCCTAGTCATACGTGATCTGGTCCTGTGGCGTGCTCTTGTGAGAGTTCTATAAACGTCACATTGATAAAAACACATTAAAGCCTGGTTATCAATCCTGAGGAGGTTTTAATTATTCCGCCAGTTGTCAGCAATCCAAACGCGTTCCTCTCAGATTTAAGCCACGTATATTTGTTTTGGTGAGAAATGGGCCACAGCAGACCCCAGAGTGCAGCAGATAACTCTGGTTTAGCCCTCTAGTTGTAGCTTCTGGTTATGATTCAAAGTAAATTGAAGGAATCTTACTAATAAAGTGGCGGGCTTGTAGTGGTTATGAGTTGGGTTAACCATTGTTATTATGTCAGCGGAGCCTTGATAAGCTGAATTTATCGCGAATGACCGAAGCTCACTAAATGTTCAACCTAGCTTTCGACGTCAAAGGATATTTCAGTGCTCCATTTAGTCTCATATACTCCACCCCTTATATTGGTCATTAGCTTTTTACAGAAAAAGTCCCGACGTATATTTAATGTACCTTTGTACAAAAATTGACTTAAGAACAGCCTACCCAAAAGTCGCCTAAAAATAATGAGAGTAAACGTTACATTGCGCTCCGTTCCCATTTTCGCAGTTTAAAGGATTCTAATAGTAGTAGGTTTAACAACTACTGTTTACAGCTTATTCCTCTTCGTTAATTCTACCGAAGGCATGTGCACAGATCACGATGTTTTAGGCTAGTTTAAACCATTTATCAGAAAATGCGGTTGAACAATAAGTATTTTTGCAGGAATAACCGCGAGAACTAATTCGTTGGACATACCTGACACCACACAGACATGGAAATGTATTAGACCTGGCCTAAT